AACAACAACAACAACAACAACCAGTCCACCATAGCTATGGCTTCCCTCTTTCAGCCTCCTCTCTCATGCATAGGCTATGACGGACTAATGAGGGCCTTGCCCTGACGTCCAAAGGACAACCCAAAGCAGCTATGGTGCTGCGCGGATGTCCAAAGGACAACACAAAGCAGCTATTGTGCTGCTGACTGGTCCGCCATGCCTGACTATGTCTCGAGCTTCCTTGGTGCCGCACTACCCCAACTGGGGCCTTCCAGATGCAGCGCCCCACAAGGTGATGAAGATGGTGTCTACCATAGCCAGGTAAGTGCCCCGCCACTCTCCTACCATGCCCCCTTCTTCCTCCTCCTCAAGCTGGACTGCTCCCCATAGCCAGGTTGAGCTCCAGCGGCCCTTCACCTCCAAGCAGCGCTGCACCAGACCAGCGCTGCGCTCCAGCAGCATGTCGCCAATCCTTGCACACCGCAAATGAGGAAGAGCTCTTTGCTCTTCCTGGAGATATAGCGGCCTACCGGCCTCCTAGGCGGTGACTTCCTAGGTCGAGCGGCCTCCCAGCAACCGGTACCTCCTCCCTTTCGGAGGGAAACATCATTGTAGGCTCTGCTATCCTCCGTACAGGCCCTAGACCCGGGCTACTTGGACTGGTACCAGCCTACCGCTATCCTACCGCTAATGGGCCTCTAAAAATGCCAACTTTTTGTCTTCTTCAGCTCGGCCTCCAGTACCCGACACTTCTACCACTACTTCAGTGGTACCGGCCTACCTTCTACTTGAGTGTTTTTCCCCTCTGCTCTAAGTGTCGTGGGCCTACCCCCGCTACTCGAGTGTTTTCCCCCTGCAACCCTTCGCAGTCACGGCCACAGGTAAGTACCGGCCCTGCGAGGCCTTGCAACCAACAAGTACCCTTGGGGGTCACACACACACTCAACCGACAAGCACTCAGACAGGCATGCAAACCAGCAGGCACGCACACACACACAGACATGGAAATCACAGCAGAATGCGGGAATTTCAACAAGGCATTCATTCCAGCGGCAAATCCCAGAAATCAGCAGTGTTCTCAGTCTGTGTTTTTGGTGGGTCATTACATAACCTTCTTTAAACTGCTCATTAACCACCGACACATCCGCATGCTGATCGATAGTGGTTCAACCACTAATTTCTTTTCTCCTAACGGGATTCGTAAGGCGGGCCTGGGAATGAAGCAAGTGGAACTGCAAAACCCTTGTCAGACCCAGGTGGGCAACCAAGAGGTTGTCACCTCTACACGTTTTCAACGGTGTGCGCGTCACCTTTGACAAGGACCGCACTGTCACACATGAGCTCAACTTCTATGTCATGGACAAGTGTCCGTTCGACGCGCTCATTGGCTTGGGCTGGTTAAAGGCTCATTGCCTAAGGACCACGTGGGCGGACAATCAGTTCGTGGTGCGTGATGCCAAGGGGAACGAGCGTACCGTCCTATTGGATGAGACGCGCGAGTCCCCTGTGACTCTTCTAAGTGCAAACAAATTCTGCAAATCAGTGCGCAGGCGCAAGGAAGTTGAGCATGTACATGTAGCTTTTGTAAAGCCTCTCCATGTGCCTTCTACTTTTGCTGCATTTTCTACCTCGGTAAGTAACTCTACTTCTAATGTAAATAATCCCTCTACTTCTGATCCTAACACTTCTAATCCGGTTGTAATTGCTGTAAATTCTCAATCTAATTTTCTTTCTCCTGATGAGGATGATCCACCACCGGAAGTCCCAACAAACATTCGCCAGCTATAAGATCGATTCCCTGAAGTTCTAGCCGAACCTCGTGGAGTTCCCGAGCGTCCACTCAAACACAAAATCGAGATAATAGAAGAGAGTGTTCCTCCAAAGGGCTGCGTCTACCGTATGGGACAAGGCGAGTTGGAGGAGTTGAGGAGGCAGATTGATGACATGATAGACCGTGAATGGATTAGGCCTAGTGCGTCTGAGTTCAGTGCACCTGTCCTGTTTGTGCCAAAGAAAGGAGGCAAACTCCGGATGTGTATTGACTATCGTGGCCTCAATCGAATCACCAGAAAGAATGCTTATTCTTTGCCTCGCATAGATGATCTGCTAGATGTAGCAAGTGGGTGCAAGGTCTTCTCCAAGATCGACCTCAAGTCTGGTTACCACCAGATAGAAGTTGATCCGAGTGACCAGCACAAAACTACATTCAAAACACGCGATGGGATGTACGAATTTATCGTTATGCCCGTCGGTCTTACGAATGCATCGGCCACATTTTTGTGCCTCATGGACAAGGTACTTCGCCATCAACTCAACAGGTTTGTGGTTGTGTACCTTGACGATATCCTGATTTTCAGCATGTCCATGGAAGAGCACGTCAAGCACCTTGAGGAAGTTTTGCAGGTCTTTAAGGAGGCGCAACTGCACCTCAACTTGGAGAAATCTGAGTTTGGAAGGGACAACGTCATCCATCTTGGGCACCGGTTGTCTACAAACGCCCTTGAGCCGGAGGCAACCAAGGTTAAGGTCATCCGAAAGTGGCCTCAACCAGCGAACGTTCGTGAACTGCGTTGTTTTCTTGGTTTGGCCTCATATTACCGGAAGTTTGTGCCCAAATTTTATGTCATTGCTCACCCACTCTCGAGACTGACAAGCAAGAATGTTGCCTATGCGTGGTGTGAGAAATGTGAGACTGCGTTCCAAGCCTTGAAAGAGGCATTGGTGAGTTATCCTGTGCTCTGCATTGCGGATCCCAACCTCACATTCGTAGTCACTACGGACGCGAGCCAGTTTGGGATTGGTGCAGTGCTGCAACAAGATGATGGTGATGGCCTGCGTCCGCTCGAATACTACAGCAAACGCATGCCCAGCCACAAGTTAGCTACCTCCACATACATGTGTGAGCTCTACGCCCTGCGCGAGGCGCTCACACATTGGAAGCACTACCTCTTGCGTCGTCACTTCAAGGTCTACTTAGATTATCAGACCTTGCAGTGGATTACGACACAAACTGATCTCTCTTCGACGCTGACCCGTTGGTTGCATGACATTGATGTGTACGATTTTGAGTTGAAACATAAGAAAGGCTGTTATAACCGGGTTGTTGATGCATTGTCCCGCCATCCTGAATTCTTAACTTGCCTTGTGGGTTCGTATGACCTCCAAAGGAAACTGAAGGAGGATCTGGTCGAACACACCGCCAAGGATCCGGACCTTAGTCCCATCCTTGAGCAGCTCAAGGCTGACCCTAACAA